GGTTGAAGAAAAGCACTTGAGAGTCTGTATGGCACATGGGAAAGCAACTTTCAACAACTGCCCAGTTTTGGGGAAGCATTGCTCAGAGCGAACCCAGATACCCGTATGCGGTTTAAGTTCACTAAAGATACCAAGAATCGGAAGAAGAAGGTATGCAGGTACATTTTTTGGGCATTCGGGGTAGCTATACATTTATTTAGAGCTGCTTGGCTGGTCATAACCGTCGACGCCACCCACCTCCGAGGTTCATACAAAGCAACATTGATCGTGGCATGTGTGAAGTGCTCAAATAACACAATTGTTCCCATCGCGTTTGCCCTCGTGGATAAAGAGACATTGCACAGCTGGAAATTGTTCCTTAAATACCTAAAAAAATTTGTTCTACTTGACAAGGAGACCTGCATTATCTATGATCGCCATATAGGTATTCTTGCTGCTATGGATGTTATTCTTGATAAATTTCCAGGGATGGGAGTGCACCGTTATTGTCCACAGCACATCAAAGCAAATCTAGCTGGCAATTTTCCTGGGCAGAAACTCAAAAGACCTTGTCAAAGGGCTTGTTCAATGTTGCAAAAAGGCAAGTTTGAAAAAGAATGGATGAATTTAGAAAGTAAAAATAGAGATGCAGCCATATATCTTCAGCAAATCGGTCTTGAGAAGTGTACCCGTTATTGGGACGGGGGATATCGTTGGGGAGAAATGACTTCGAACATATCCGAGAGTTTTAATAATGTCTTAAAAGGTTGCCGGATGCTCCCTATCACTGCTTTGATTCTTGCCACATTGTATAAGACTCAAGTTGTTTCAGGAAAACATAGATGAAATTGACAAATGCCATTCACCCCTCACGACGAATCCCATGAAACGGTATGATGATTACCGTATACATCAGATGGGTCACGAGGTTACCAGATTCAACAAGAGAAATCAGAAGTACCAAGTGGTCACGTACTCACCACCTGATCGGTCATGGAAGGGTGGAAATATCCATGAGGTAAGCTACGCCGCCAGGATGTGCACATGTAACAAGTGGCAAACATACAGGTTTCCTTTCTCCCATGCGCTTGCTGTTGTCAGATTTCTACGTCATGATCCATTACCCCTTTTTGATTCATTTTATAGTAGGGAACAATGGGCTATTCAGTTTTTCGGAGAATTCAACCCAGTTCTTCAACCATGGCCACAGGCGACGTGGCAGCTGAGGCCTGATGATACATTACTCATCCACCATGTTGGCCCATGTCGGAAGCATGTGAATCGAAAAAAAGGACTTAGGGATTATACGAAAAAATCTGGTAACAAGAGAGTTCAAGTTTATGGTCGATGTCATCAAGAAGGCCATAATGCCAGTGCATGCGTAGTAGAGAAAGTTTGCGCGTGATGTGGAGGATTTGATCATGATACCTTCAACTGCACATTCTCACATCCATCTTTAGACAGGACTCCTTTGAATCATGCTTACGATCGATATGGAATGCATGGTGTACCCCGTATGTAGAGTGATGATTCTGATGATCAATCTTCAGAATTCTGAGTAGGAATTCAAAGTTTGTGTTTGCGTAATAATATGAATAATCTTCAAGTAGTGGTTCTGATAGTGTTTGTGTTTGTATAATGGTTTGATTAATTCTGAGTTTGCATTTGTGTAATAATTCTAAGAATTCTGAATTTGTATTTGGGTTTTGGTTTGTGTAATAATTCAAACAATATTCAAGTCTATGTTTGTATGTGTGTAATAGTTTAAAAAATATTAAATTTGTACTAGTGTTAATTTTGTGTACTGTCCCAGACTACAAGACTACCCTCAAAGAATATTAGTAAACGTTGTAGTTCCTGGACTCTAGTTAAAATATGTTCGATGTATGAAATGCGAACCAAGTCATGCCTCTCATTTGTCGCGCCACGTGGCAAAAGCGAACAGACGATGGGACCATGAATATTTCGCATAAGGGGAATGGGAAAAATATGAAACTGTCCAGGGCACGCCACGTGGCGTCATCTGGTTTTCCTAACATTTGTATTGGAGTCCAGGAACTGGACTCCCGTATAGTGGAGTATTCACATAAGGGGAATGCGAAAATTCTGAAACTGGCCAGGGCATGCCACGTGGCGTCATCTGGGTTTTCCTAAAGTTCGCATACTGTGAATGCGAACAACTTCAGATCTAAAACTTCCAAAACCTCTCTCCCCGTCGGTTTCTCCCCGGTTTTCACCATTGAAGCCGGCGCCTCCTCCCTCCCCGGCTTTCTCCCGTTTTTCAGCCATTGTTCCCGGCGCCTCCTCCTCCACAAAAGGTAGGTAAGTGTTTTGTAGTTCATAATGATTTGTTTATTTTAATTTTTATGTCGTGTTATTTCGTTTTTTATCTAATTTATTTATTCCATTAATTTCTTCGCATATACGGCGGGCGAATTTGGATCTAGGTATTTGTATGTTGTTCGTCCGGTGTTCGATGTGTTTTTTTCTTGGTTTTATGATATTGATTTTGGTTGTCGCCGGCAGCCTGTGTTCTTTGGTTGTCGCCGGCAAAGTTGCAGAATTTTTGCTGGTGTTCTTATTGCTGTGGAGTTGTTGTTGCTTGGTACTCGTTCAATTTTTGCTGTTGTTGTTGTTGTACCGGCGTTGTTGTTATGTTGTTGTTGTTGTTGTCACCGGCCGGTCCTATGGTCGCCGGCGGACACATGTCTTCGGCCGGAGATACATTTGTTGTTTTTTTATTTTTATTTAGAGTATTTGTATTTTTTTTATTTTTATTTAGTGTATTTGTATTTTTTTTATTATTTTTATTTAGTGTATTTGTATTTTTTTTGTATTATTTTTATTTATTCTATTTGTATTTTTTTGTTTTATTTTTATTTAGTGTATTTGTATTTTTTGTTTTATTTATTTTGTGTATTTGTATTTTTTTGTTTTATTTTTACTTAGTGTATTTGTATTTTTTTGTTTAATTTTTATTATTGTATTTGTATTTTTTTGTTTTATTTTTATTTAGTGTATTTGTATTTTTTTGTTTAATTTTTATTTATTGTATTTTTATTTATTGTTTTATTTTTATTTAGTGTATTTGTATTTTTTGTTTTATTTTTATTTTGTGCATTTGTATTTTTTTGTTTTATTTTTACTTAGTGTATTTTTTATTTTTTTGTTTAATTTTTATTATTGTATTTGTATTTTTTTGTTTTATTTTTATTTAGTGTATTTGTATTTATTTTGTTTAATTTTTATTTATTGTATTTTTATTTATTGTTTTATTTTTATTTAGTGTATTTGTATTTTTTTGTTTGATTTTTATTTATTGCATTTGTATTTTTTTGTATTATTTTTATTTAGTGTATTTGTGGATATTGTTTAATTTTTATTTATTGTATTTGTATTTTTTTGTTTAATTTTTATTTAGTGTATTTGTATTGTTTTATTTAATTTTTATTTATTTTATTTGTATTTTTTTGTTTTATTTCTATTTATTGTTTTTGACTAGTAAACCCATAATATTTTTCAATTAGGGGTATGGAGACGGGATCAACATCATCTTCATAGTCTAGACAATATGACCTCCAGCAGGGTCCTATAGACAAGAGTTTATTGGTCCTTCATGATGATCATAGGTCATTCCATACATTTAGGGGTAATAAGGCTTATTTGAAAGAACTTTCCGCATACCGAGTGAATACTGACTTATGGCCCGAAATGGACAAGGCTGCCCCACAGATACATGCCCAAATAGCGAAGTTTGGTCTAGGGCCGCTTTTTTGAATTGGTTCTATTAAGTTAGATTGGGCCCTCATTACAGCCTTATTTGAGCGATGGCGGCCTGAGACCCATTCATTTCACTTGCCTGTTGGAGAGGCGACGATTACTCTACAGGATGTCAAGGTCCTTCTTGGTCTACGGGTTGATGGCCATGCAGTGGTTCAGGGGACTGTACCTCCTCAGGATGTGCAGTGGGCCGATTATTTAGAGAGTCTGTTTGGTTTCCGACAGCGTCCTAAGGCCACGAAGGATAAGGTAGTAAACATCACAGATATAAAAAGACACATTATGACCAGTAAGCTACCCGGGGATGCTACAGAGGATATGCACCTTCAACGGGCACGTTGTTTTGTCGGATGGATTTTAGGAGGGTTATTGTTTCCTGATAGCACCAGAAACAGTTTTCTCCTGGGCCTGGTGGGGTATTTGGAGGACCCAAATACATTTCGGGAGTTTAGTTGGGGTAGTGCCACATTGGCATGGTTGTACCGAAATCTATGCACTTCCTCAGTGATCACATTGTCCGGACAGGGTATTTGTGGCTGCTTACTACTCTTACAGGTAATTTCAAACCGCCCTTGTATTTGTATTTTATTGTTCGTTTTTTATTCATTGTATTTTAATTTTTTAGTTTTATTTTTATTTTTCCTTATTTGTAAATTTTTTGTTAGATTCCTAATTATGGTATTTTTATTTTATTGTTAGTTTTTTATTCATTGTATTTTAATTTTTTTAGTTTTATTTTTATTTTTCCTTATTTGTAATTTTTTGTTAGGTTCCTATTTATGGTATTTGTATTTTATTGTTAGTTTTTTATTTATTGTATTTGTATTTTTAATTTCACGTATTATTTTATTGCAAATTAGTTATGGGCTTGGGAGAAGATTTTGACTTTCCGTCCGGAGTTACGTGGGCCCCATACCAGATCTTCAGGGGTGTCCCTTGGGCAGGAGGTAATTAATTTTTAACTATTCAATAAGTATCTTAATTGGTTATATTTTTTGACAATTTTTTTTTCCGTGTTTTCAATCAAAACTATTTTCTTTGTAGGTGGAACCGTCCTAGAAAAGTGGGAGACATCACACGATTTAATCTAACTGCCTACCGAGACCAGCTTGCCGCTTTGCAAGAACATAATGTAAGTATTTTTTATTTGAACCATCATAACGTATAAATTATTTTTTTCAATTTTCGTATATATTCACATAAATTATCTGTATATATCTGTCCCTCTCCAGTTCGTTTGGATGCCGTATTCTCCTGCAACCCTCGTAGAAATTGATCCATCTTGCTCTCCCGGCTTCGCCATATGGATGTCCCAGACTTGGCTGCTTTATTTTGGTATCCGAGAGCCACACATCCCAGGCAGGGTGTTGCGCCAGTTCGGCTTCTTGCAGCAGTTGCCTGACAACACTTTCATCATGGAGAAAAAAGAAATAGAAAAGTTGCATAAGGAGACGCGTGGTAAGAAATGTCGAGATGACGTCTTACAGAGGTGGGAGACTCGACACAACACCCTTGCAGGTCTTCAGACGGATATGACTCTTGAACCCCAGGCAGCACCGGAATACCTAGTGTGGTATCAAAATCGCACTGTCACTTTGGTCACCAATCCATCAGACTATCGTCAGTCCCATGATTTTCAGGGATCTGCTGAGTCACTACATATAATGGTAAGTTACAGTTTTACTATTTCTTTAATCACACCCATATTAATATGATTTTTATACATATAACTTTCTAAAATGTTATTTCCTATTTTTTATTTACATATATATGTTAATTTATAAAATATATTTATTATATATTTTTAATTTACCATATATTTATTTCCTCTCATAATTTTCAGGCCAATTTAGTGCAAAACATGCGGTAGATTACTCTAGATGGGCTACAACGTAATCCAGCTGATTCTTGGAATCACAATGCCTTCCTACAGCTGCACGATTTGACACAGCAGGCAATGATTGTCAGCAAGACATCTGTTTGAACTGATAGTGAGAACCCAAGCCAAGATTTTGTTCCAGCTGACCCAACCCATGAGTATATCCCACCTAGGCCTCCTAGGACTGACCGAGGCGGGTTCCAGTTAGGGAGTGGGAGGATGAGAAAACATGTGGCCACCCAGGATACTGGCGGGCCATCTTCTACCCCGAATGTGTCTCCTTAACATCCACCATCGCCACACCACCATCCCTCTCCTGGTTTTGAGCAAATGCATTTTGATTCAGATTTTATTAATCTAGATCCTAATGCGGGGGGTTTCTTTGAGACTAGTTACGAGGGTGGTCATCATAGTCAGCATCTAGGCGGTGACCGTATCCATAATGATCAGGAAGATGATCAGGATCATGAGGATAATCGGGATCAGGAGCATGATGATGAGAGCACCAATGATTCTGATTATGATGAGCATTCCTCTCATGATCATGATGAGGGCGCTGATCAGGGTGAGGGCTCGAGCCAGTGCCCGAGACAGGGCCCCAGTGATGGTACCATGCCTTTTACACCGATTGCTTTGGGTAAGGGACAGCGGAACATAAAGACTAAGAAAAAGTGCTGCATGATAGATTCTCGGGAGAAAAAGCGCAAGATGTAGAAAAATTAGATTGAATTGTACTTTTATTTTATGCTATTTTATGAATTTTGTTATTAGTTTTAAACAATGCCTTTCATTTCTTTTCATTAACAATTTATTTCAGTTTTATTTAATCTTTAGTAAACTCGAGCTTTTGAATTTTTAAAATGATACAATAGTTTTAAGATTAACAAAAATAAAAGGCAAACATTAAAGAAGAAAATTTATCAAAAAGACAATATTATGTATAATTTTTTTAACTCTTACTTTTATACAATACTATCTTTTGCGGCGTGCCAAATTCAAGTTTCCAGGTCGCCAAAAGATCATTGTTAGAAGGAAGTGTGGTTTTATCAAGTTTAGCAGGACTGATTATGTTAGATGGAAGCAAGAAAACATGATTGTTCCTGATGGTGTCAATGCCAACCGTCAACCTGGAAGAGCTTTCTTGGAAGCAACCTCTTCAGAGCGTGTTTAATTGAAGCACTTTCTTGTTCAGTGTTCATTGTAGTACTGTGCGAATGTGATCTGAGGCCATTGACCACATTATATTTTTGCCATTTTCCTTTATATTATGTCAGATTCTAAAAGTTTTAGTTTTTTTTTCCTTACTTTAAATGAATTGATTCTAAGTTTTATTATGTAAAAAAAAATATTATCCAAAATTTACTAAACTTGATTTTTTGACATTTTATTTTTAATGATGGTAAGTTTTTAAATTGAAACCAAATAAAAGTAAATTTTTTTAAAAGCAAACTTTGTTACAAAAGGCAAGATTATATTCTAATTTTTCACCGAAATTTTAATTTACTTATTATTCAAATTTTATTATAAATGCATTATACGATTTCTGTTCACCAAATATAATTTATAGCATTGCAATTCTATTTAGAACGAACATAAATTTACTTAAATCAAATGAATATTTTAAATTCAGAAAATTTAATTTTCAATTAAAATAGCATTTTTTTTGAAATATTACAACATTTTATCAACCAAAATATTTAATTTACAACATTTCATTTTATACCAATTTAAAGTTAGGAAACAATTTTTAAATAAAAAAATTAAAACATTCGCATATGGCATATGCGAAAAGTTAGTTAAGTTTCGCATATGACATATGCAAACACTTATAATAATTATAATTATCCAGTTTTAATCCAACGTCTTTAATGCATTGTAATTAATTCAATAAATTTTCGCATTCGTTGAATGCGGAAGTTGATTTTTTCGCATTTGCCAATTGCGAGAAACATATTTCTTTCTTCTCCCGAAAACCTAGCCATAGTTTTGCCTACACCACCACCTTGGGAGCATATTTGTGTCATTTTTCGCCACATCAAGGGGTTTGGGTGATTGATACATAATCCCTCGTCACAGCCTTAACTGGACACCAGATAACCCTTGCGTGATTTCACGAAAGAAAAAAAAAACCGAGAACATAAAATTAGAATGGAAAAAAGGAAAGAAAAACTACACCTTTCGAGGCTTATTCACCATGGGGTTACAATTTTCATTTACTATAGTCAATTTATGTTCAAATTATCTTTTATTTACAGTTTCATTTACTCTAGTCAATTTTTGTCTAATCAATCATGATGAGGTGTCAGTTCAATATCTTGGGTTTTTCGGAATATTGAACGAGAATGGTATTTTTCCAAGGAGACAGGTTAGGGGATGGCTATGAAATTACTAAATGATATATATATCTCAAATTTCTATGTGTATCAACCTTTTTTCCCCCTTAAAGTCCCATCTTTACTGCCTTTCTTTCTTTTTGTCGCTGAAATCTAATTTTGAAATTCCAATTTCTGAATATATCGTGGCATTTGACATCTAAAACCATCATTTCTTTGACAGCACAACAAATCAAATCATGTCCATCGTTACTTGCCCATTGTCCACCACAACCGTCGAGAAAGAAGTCAAAAGGTTAGATTGAGTTGAGACCGAGCTCAAGGAGACGAGTCACAAAATGAGCGATCTTAAGGAGCTTGAAAAACAAGTAAGGATGTTTATGGATGCTGTTCAATCAATCCGAACAACCTTGGAAGCCAAAATTTATTCATCTCAATCATGGAATCCTTTGATCCTCTTATAAAGACAATTAAGTAATCTGCAAAACAAAGGTGCGACACCGCCATTGACCCCGCTGGAGTACCATAGTATGCTATTTTCTGACTTGCTTTAACGGCCTTGTCATTGCCTCTGAGACTATTATGAACAAATAGGTTTGAGTTTAATAACTAAATTATTATTCCTAGCAATATATATGTATATATATATATATATATGAGCTACTACGGTCCAGTCGACTGAATGATCTAATTGACATTGAGAGCCGTCGGATGATTATAATTAATAATAACCATTAGATTAAAATGTGGTGTGACGATGCACAGATATGCACCGCCAGTTTAACGGTGGAACTCCGGTTAGGGTTTCCTACAAAACAGAGCCTCAGGGTCTCCCGAGGGTAGACACTCCGATGCTTAAGTCAGTAAACGGGATTGCTAGAAAGTTTTGGGAGGTAATATGTTTGGCTTATAGATTGCGTACCTGAATTATGGTATGAGCTACCCTATTTATAGGTATGAGATTACTTGGACCATTCCGAATCCAACTAGGTTTTAGGGATTCACACCGTCCTAAGAGTCCCAGTTGGATTCTTCTTGCGGAGAGTGGGCCGGTACAATCTCGGTCATGGATCTGGACTCGTCAAGTGCCCCTGCCAAGTGTTAGTGACGTAAAACAAAACAACGCTTGGCATAAAATGAGCATTACCTGAGACATGCCCGAGGGTGGACAGATCGCCCTCGTTCAGCTAATTGTCGAGGCATATGCCTAACAAGCTCGGTGCTGACACGCCACCCTCGACCTCGGAGGATCGAGAAGAACCGGCGGGTCGGGCCGTGACCGGTGAAGGCGACCCGCTTCCCCAATCCCGCTCAAATTTTCAATTGTGCGTTATTAGCGGGCACGTTCCCCAAACGGCGGCCTCAACATCATTACTTCCTTGAAACCTACAATAACTGTCAAATCGTGGCCCATAATTAAAGAGACGTGGGAGAATCAACTTTGCGTTTAAAAGAGAAAAACTTTCTACTATTCCGGGACACTTAATCACTTCTTTTCTCTGCAAAAAGCACAAAAATCTTCTCTTTTGCAAAAAGCATTTCAGCCCCCATTCCACTTCCTTTCTAGAGTATCCGAAGTTCTTTCCCGGCCGAAAGTTTCACAATTTTACCTGATATACTGCCCTGGCGAACTGTTTCCAGGGGAGCTCCAAATTAAGGTTTCTAGACAACACTGGGGAGTTATAATTCGAAGGGCGAGTGGTCACGTCCCCCTTACACAGTAAGTTTCCAGATCTGAATCTCCGATTCATTCCGTTTCCTTTTCGACTGTAACCAGAGTAGATTTTTCGCAGAATTATGGTTAGGGATTCTGAAGGGAAAACTGTTCTAGACTTTGTTTCCACCATAGACTCGATGGATAAGGTAGAATATCTCAGATCCAAGTATGACTTCCCCTCCGCCTTACAGGCGAGAGCTCCGTTAGGAAACGAGAGGGCCAACTCTCCTCCAAGGGGAAGAATTACTGTGTATGATCGATTTATACATCTAGGGCTTAGATTTCCCCTTTACCCCCTATTTGAGGAGATTGTTCAATATTATAGGACCCCTCTCGCTCGTTTTACCCCAAATTTAATTACATTTGTACTGGAGTTTGCGAGAGTGTGCCAATATGTAAAGGTGGTACCTCGATTGATACTATGGAGGTACTTTTTCCAAGTAGTTGTGGCCTCGACTTCTTTCCAAGATTGGTATATAGTTAAAAGACGCCTTAGGGCCGGTGTGAAGAAAATGGTCGAGGCGTACGGCGGTTCTCCGGAATGGAAATCGGATTTTGTGTTTGTAAAGGTGCCTGCAAGTTATTGTCTGCCATGGAATCTCCGTGAGACAAAGGGCCTTGGGGCCATAAAAGACGAATGGACCCAAGAGGATGAAGAGTGTGTCGAGGAGTTCCAGGCAGATGTTGAGAAAATTCTGAAGTGCGCGAACGTCGTTAAGTGGAACGACGTCCAATACTATGTGCCCCCTGCATATGTGAAGGAAGGTGATATGGTCATCGTCGAGGGAGCAACCAGAATTCCCCTCGAAATCTCTGATCAAGGTACTAATCATTTTCTTCTTTTTTTTCTTTGTTGTTAGGTCATGTCGTCGAGCAATGTTGGGTCTCGATTGTTTGGTGACGAAGATCCTTTTGTCATTGTGAATTCAAATGAGGACGTTACCATTACTGCTGCCCCCCAGAAGAAGAAGAAGAAAAGGATCGTGAAGGTGGGTGATAGGTCAAAGCCCAAAAAGGCCAAGATGGATGTGCCCCCGAAGGAAACTGCCCAACCAAGCGTCGAGACAGTGCCCGTTACCACTGAGTCCATGCAGAAAACTGTACCGGAGACAGGGCCAAGCAGAGTTCCTCCCGAGGTAGGGAAAGGAAAGGGCCCTCTCGAGGGAGAGGCCATAGTCTTGCCCCCCAACTGTTCGAGGGAGGCCCGACTGTGGTAGTTCATGCCTTCAGCAACCCTCCTTCAATCGAGTGTCCTATTCTCGAGGAATTCGCTGCCCAACTGAATGAAACTGACAGCTTGCGGCTGGTAAGAAATTATTTTAAATTATGTCGTAAATGCGCCACGGATGTCCATGTGTCTCTAATATGTTGTGTTGGCTCAGATGAGTGCAGCCTCGATGGGCTACTTAGTGCAGTTGAGGAAACTTCGAGAGGACCTGGTAGCAGCAAGGGCAGAAAGGGATGAGGCGTTGTTCGAGGTGGTTACCCTCGAGGAGAAGGTTCGCCAAGTTCAGGCCAAGGAAGCAGAGATTGTCGAGGTGCTGGCCAAATACGATGAGCTCGACGAGAAGATGAAGTCGTTTGCCGGCCTGCATATCTCCAAGGAGGAGCTCCACCAGTGGTGTACCGCCTTTATGTATAGAATGATGTCCACAGGGGGAATGGCGGCAGCTCTCGAGGAGGTGAACTTGGTTGCCACCAAGTGTGGTGCGCACCGAGTGGGCGTGGCAGGGCTGAGGATGCTCGACCAGGATAGGCCAATTAAGGCCAAATGGTTTAAGCAACTCTTGATGAAGGACTCAAAGAAAACCATGTACGAGGCCATGGTGAAGGTCTTGACGAGATTGAGCCTTGAGCAGCTCCCTCTGTGGGGAGCTTTGACCTGTGCCATGCCCAAGATGAGTTCCCCAACGGAGATTGCCTCGTTTCCAGGCGACGTCCCTGCTGTCCTCGCCAAGGGTCCGAGTGAGGAAGACCCCATCCCCGAGGTTCCTGACGAGTATGTGGACATCGAGCTCGAGGATGCTGATGAGGAAACTGAGGAGGATGTTGCTGATACCGATCACTCCGGAGTTCAGAGAAACGCTGAGGATGCCTCTCAGGCCCCTTCCAAGGACCCTTCCAATGATCCTTCCAATGATCCTCTCCCAGGCAGTGATGCTGTATGAATCCTGCCTTCTGTAATAGTTTTTTAGGCCATTCAAACTTTTTCCTTTCTGCTGTAATGAACTAATTTTTCTTTTCTTGCTGAGATTTATGCAAACGTCTCTCTTCATTCCAGTTTTTTGTCCTTTGTGTTCTTTCTATTTGGTTTGATGTGAGTACCTTATGCTCCTCTGGTAAAACAGGAAAGTTGGACCATTTACCGCGTGCACCTCATGGTGTTATCAGAGGAGCAATCGAGGGAGTTTCCATTATATTCCATGATAAGCGGGATTCTAAGAAGTCGTGCTAACGTGCACAGCCTCGAAACAGTGGCGCATTTGGAGAATGACCTGCTCGATGCCATGAGGACGCACAACGTGAAGTTTAACCAGCATCTGATAAACGAGATCAAAGGACTCTGATAATGGTTAAATTGTTACATAAAAGCATCACAATTAGCTTTGTATTTGATGAACAATTGGGGGTATTTCCTAACATTGGTGCAATTTACTTAGCTCATTTTCATGTTATTGTTAGGAAAGGACCAGACTGAATAATTGCTGAAAATTGGAAGCCAAAGGAGCAATTTAAGGACTGCTGAGGCAAGGGTGCTGAGCTGGACGAAGAAGAAGGCCCTTAGACAAGAAGCATCTTGTCATTAATGACCTTGCCTCCTCCTAGAGGCATGCTTGTCCCCCAGCCGCAATCCTAGCCACCACTGCTGATCAATGAGAGCAAAACGGCTGCTGCTAGAAGAGAGAAAAGAAACGGCCAAGTTGGATTGCAGGCTCAAGACATTGGGAGGATTAAACAACTCCAAGCATGGGGAGGTTCTCATGATGAAGACACCGGCTGCAAGGCCCTATAAGAGAGGGAACTGCACTCTCAATGGAGGATATCTCAGTCTCTGGTTAGCTTCTCAGTTGCCAAAAAAAGACACTCAGAAAAACTCCAGGTAGAAGACAAGAAAGAAGAAGAAGCAGCAACAACTCAGTGAGGAAGCGAAGTTGAAGAATAGCAACCCAGTTTCTTCTTCAGTTCCACGAGTGAACCCCTTCACTCCCAGGAGTGACTCAGAAACTGCACAAGCTTTCTCCTCATCTCTTGACTGTTAGCTTGAATTTTGTTTACTATGCATACTTCTATGATGTCTTTCGATGTAGTAGATGTAGCATTAATCTGTATGAGTAGCTAAACAGTTCCCAGGGGTTATTCTCCTCAACTGATGTTGTAGTTGTCAAAGCACTGGTTTTGTTCCTTGTTTTATGGTTGAAAGATTTTCTACATTCATTTACTTGATCACTAAATTGAATGCATGCTAGAACTAAGGGAGATCTAGAAGGATAAACTTGGTTTGGATTGTTTCAACTTTAACTTATGACATAAAGGTAACAGTCTATGGTTTTAACTAAGATAGGAATATACTTAGTTAACATAAGCATTCTTGAAGGCCTAAGAACTTAATGACTTTGTAGCTGGAATCAATCATTGGAAAATAGGTTGTTAAGGGTGCAAAGATGACTCTAGGAAAAATGGGAACTGACTTAGAGTTATAAGTGAGCTGAATGAACAAGAACTCAACCTTTACTGTGCTAATAAAACAACTACAACAGCAGGAAGAGGAGAAGAACACCCCTGGCCTCCATTCCCCTGAGTGACTATTTCCATTCTCTTGAGTGACACCTTGTTGACTGACAGTTTTTCTTTACAACAAATTTGGTAATTAGCTGTCCTCGTGGGATCGACCTAGCTTCCATTATCTACAAAACTCATAATCCAAGCTAGTAATATTTATCTTTTTTTTTGGTGAACTCGGCAAGCATCAGAAAGTGGCGCCGTTGCCGGGGACGGCGTAAAACCTCCAAAAAAATTTGTTGTTTTGGTTTGTGTATATATATATTAAATTCTTCTCTGGTTACCTCGCTAAGCTTCCAGTTTCTTTTCTTTGGTGTATGACTAGAAGGCACCAACGAAGTGAACCTGTTTTTGACCCAGAAATTGAAGCTACCATCCGTAGAACCAGAGCAGCAAGAAGAAGGCAGAACCGGGTGCAACAGGACAACCAAGAAGGTTCATCTGAAATGGCTAACCAAGGTGGCAATCCGGAGAACAATAGGAACCCTGGTGGGGATCAACAAAACCGACCAGAAGGACTGCTTAGAGATTTCTTCATCCCACAGCAAGAAGAAGTCCAATCTCCTCTAGTGTTCCCTGATGTAGAAGCAACCAATTTTGAGCTCAAGCCACAGATGATCCAACGGACCCAATCAGCCTGCCCATTCCATGGATTACCTCATGAAGATCCTAATGATCACATCCGAAGTTTTCTGCGTTTATGCAGTACTTTTAAAATTCAAGGCTTATCTAATGATGACATTAGACTGAGACTATTCCCTTTTACATTGCAGGATCAAGCCCAAGCATGGTTCAACACATTACCCAACAACTCCATTTCCACTTGGGAAGAGTTAAGGTAGTGTTTTAACAAAATTCTTTCCACCTGCAAAAACTGCACAAGTCAGAACAGCAATAATGAACTTCAAGCAGCATGGAACAGAAACGCTTTATGAAGCATGGGAAAGATTGAAAGAAATGGTCAGAAAATGCCCTCAGCATGGTTTGGAAGAGCATCTTCAACTGAGCATCTTCTACAATGGTCTGCTACCAACTACAAGAGACTCCCTTGATGCTGCAGCTGGTGGTGTATTTATGATGAAGCCAGTTGATGCAGCAAGGCAGTTGCTCGACAATATGACCACCAACCATTCAAGATGGCAATCTGATCCAAGGGCAATTTCAAAACAGCCAGGGATGATGGAACTTGATCCCAGTACACATCTACAAGCTCAAATGGCTGTTATGATGAACGAAATGACTAAGCTCAGAAGTGAGGTGTCCAAATCCAAGGCAGAAGTATGTGTATTATGTGATGGATCCCACAGTTTGGATGACTACCCTTCTAAAATGGAAGCTGTCCAGTTTGTCAGACAGGGCAATGCAGGGGGATTCAACAACTTCAACAATTGGAGATATCAGCAACAGACTAACTGGAACAATGCTCCACAACAAGGAAATTATCAAAGGCCTGCTCAACCCCCAGGATTCCATAGACAAGATGGTCAGCTTCCCAACTATCAGAATCAGCAACGTTCTAACCAACAATACATACCAAGGGAAGATGAATGGATTTCTGTAAAAAATGCAATCAAGAGTTTGGCAGTGTCTTGTAAAAGTTTGGAAAATCAGTTGGCCCAGATTGCAAAACAAAATGCTGAAAGACCATCTGGGAGCCTGCCCAGTGACACAATTGTGAACCCCAAGGGGAATGACCAAGAGCAAGCGAAGGCTGTCACTCTCCGAAGTGGAAAGCAACTCAATCAACCAAGTGAAGAAGTCACTCCTGCGAGTGACACTGCAGGTAAGAATGAAACTTCTTCTGAGCAAATATCTGATAATGATGATATGGTTGAACAGGAGCAACCCGCTGAAAAACCTGGAATGGAGGGAATTCAATTTCCAGCACCAATTAAGGAACCACCACAGCCAGCTCCAACGCCACCATATCCAGTAAGACAGAAGAAAGCAAAAATGGATGAAGGACTCAGCAGGTTTATTCAGAATTTAGAAAGTATACATATTAATGTACCGCTTGTTGATGCACTTAAACAAATGCCTAAATATTTTAAGTACTTGAAGGATTTGGTGGCGAATAAGCCACAAATGCATAACTCTGCTTTTGTCACTCTAAATGAAGAATGTAGTGCAGCTACCCTGAGAAAATTACCACCTAAGCTAAAAGATCCGGGTAGTTTCACTCTTCCTTGCACTGTAGGAATCAGAGAATTTTCAAAAGCATTACTAGATCTTGGTGCAAGCATAAATCTCATGCCATTGTCTGTATTTAAATCCCTTGATCTGGACAAATTTCTGGTACCTACTAACATGACCTTGCAGTTGGTAGACAGATCTCTGACTTACCCAAAAGGAATCTTACATGATGTTCTTGTGAAAGTTGGTAACTTTGTTAACCCAGCCGATTTGTGGTTTTGGACATGGAAGAAGACAGGGATGTACCCATCATCTTGGGGAGACCTTTTCTGGCAACAAGCGATGCAATCATTAAGGTGAAAAAGGGAGAAATCACACTGCACTTTGATGGGGAGAAGGTCACATTCAACATCTTCAAAAATATGAGATATCCCGCTGAAGTCCACGACTGCTACATGGTAAGAAATGTAAAAGCAAAGGAAGCAGTGACGGAAGAATTACTGCAAGATGATCTCCTCAAGGAACTTTGGTGCCCAGACTATAATGAGGAACAGGAAGGAGGGGATGAGTACAGGGCCACTTGCCTGAGCTACCTGAACCACTCCCCTAAGTGGCATCCTACACAGCAACCCTTTGAACTGATAAACCTGACCAAGGAAGGGAGATGCCTCAAACCTTCAATTGAAGAACCACCTCATCTCGAACTTAATCCTTTGCCCTCACATTTGAAGTACGCCTATATTGGAACAAGTAACACCTTACCTGTAATCATTTCTTCTATGCTTACAGGTACTGAAGAGGACAGATTGCTGAGAGTACTGAGATTGCACAAAGAAGCCATTGGGTGGTCAATTGCTGACATTAAGGGCATCAGCCCCTCCATATGCATGCACAAAATCCTGCTTGAAGATGACACCAAGCCAACCATTGAAGGACAAAGAAGACTCAACCCAGTCATGAAGGAAGTGGTGAAAAAGGAGATTATCAAGCTGCTGGATGCAGGGATTATCTTCCCAATCTTTGACAGCAAGTGGGTGAGTCCAGTGCAGTGCGTGCCCAAGAAGGGAGGAATCACAATGGTAAAGAATGACCTCCAGGAGCTAATCCCAACAAGGCTGAACAATTCATGGAGAGTGTGCATGGACTATAGAAAGCTTAATAAAGCTACCAGTTACAACCAGATTGACATAGACCCCGATGATCAAGAGAAGACGACTTTCACCGCCCTTATGGCACATTTGCCTTCAAGAGAATG